GTAAAACCTCCTCTCTTCCCATGGTTTTACTCCTTGTGACATTTCAAACTGACATCACTGTTTCAGATTGTTAAACCCAATAACCTAAAGGAGATTCCCTATAGAAAACAGAAACCTTATGCCAAAAAGCATGTAAAATAGAAACTCATTGTGGGAAACATGCCATTCTTTCCAGTAATGCTTGATGTTGGCAGTAATCACAGATCTGGGGAAGAGAAATGACTTCTTAGGAGTTAACTGTAGAAATCCCAACCCACCTGTGCACACGGGGCCCCACTGTGCCACCTGGCACCCCCGACCGACTCTGCAAGACCCAGACCCTTCCGCCCTCCTGGGGCCTCGTGGGCTCCTCTTCCACGTGGCCACGTGCTGCCGGTGTGGCCCCGCCCCCTCACTGACTCCTCCCTCCAGCATCAGCATCAGTCTGCACACCAAGCCCAGCAGTATCAGAGGGGCTTCCAGCCAGAGAGGGGCTCACTATTAGAACCGGCAGATGTAAACACACGGGCACTGGTGCAGAGAACAACAGTCACACCTCCCCCTAAGTGTCCCACGAAGCTGTGACTCACCAGAGCGTCCTCATCTGTCCCAGCTGCCCACCGATCTCTGGGGACAGGCACTGGGCCCTGCCCCCCGTGGCTGCAGAACATACCCCTGACGCTCGACCAGCATCAGTGAACACAACGGAGAGACAACACGACTCCACGGTGAAGCGGAAAACAAAAGCGGTGCCGGCGCTTTGCAGGCGGCTCCTGGACCCCCAGACCAGAGGGGTTTGCTCACTGTGGGCCAGCAGGATGGCTGTGCTGGGCCTGCACGGAACCAGGAGGACCCCCCCCCCACGGCAGACGCCGTTCTGAACCTTCCTGCGACAGCGGGAGACTGCAAGCACGGGGTGATGGAAGGAAAGGTGCTCACAGGTGACCGTGCTGGACACCGGCTCCGCTGGAGAGGACGAGCAAGGCAGGACGCAGGCTCCGGCGCCTGTCTGCGGAGGGGCCCTGGCTGACCCTCGGGCGGCTCTGCCTGTCTCTCAAGTGTTTCTCTCTGTCTCCAGGGGGCGATTCAACCCTTATAACCACCACCACACTGAGTGCCCACTAAATTGCTATCAGGAGTCATTTACAAAGAGCAAGTGAATTCCTAAACAGTCAAGTGAATCCTCAACTCTGAGTATGGCATTAGTTCAGAATGTTTCAGGTAAGAAGCTGAGTTACACTGTTTCTTTAAAACTCCCAGGGCTCTTTTCTGTAACCAACTTTAAAGGTTAGGATATATCAAGTTTTTGTTTTATTTCATATAACTACTGCCTCCTCTTTTCTCCCCTAAAGTTTCTTTTTCCCTTGAACTACTACACAAAACAGCCTGATACGCCACAGAAACTGAGTGACAGATCAGGAGAATCAGAAACTAAATAACAAAACCCCTCGCAAAAACACCTGCTGTCAGAAATCAGCTGCCCACGACTAAACCGCTAGTAACCTCGGCCAGGGCTGCCAGCGAGTCGCTTTACTGCTGCGATCAATCCTCCCGGGCAACAAGGGACGACACCCTGCAGACCCGTGCGGCGGGCCCAGGGAGCACTTACCGGCAGGCTGGCTGGGATGCAGTGACTCTCGACTCGGCCATCGATCACTTATCATTTGATCTCCATTTGTATTAAATGATGCTTGTGTCAACACACTGCCCTGACACGGGTATCGGGTGACGGGAAACTGCCCTTGCTGACACAGAGCCTCTCTAAAACCCTCTGGCCTTGGCGACGGTCATTAACCTTGTAGGGAGCCAGCTGCCCCGGGTCCCTGGGCGGTGGCCGTCATGCACGGGGGCAGGATGAGAAAGAGCAGGAACAGATGAGAACCAGCAGGGACCAGAGAGTGTGAGAGGGTCAGCTGACAGACGGGCACCGCGAGCCGATGCCTGGAGTCGCCAATGCAGGGGATCGCGGGCGTGTGACGTGGAAGGCCATGTGTTTTAAAAGAAGACCCTAAGCATCCTGCGTCCCTGACCCCAGCAGACACCGCCAAAGACTAAGCATCGCACTCCACAGCCAAGTAAACCACAGGAAGTACCTAATGTGATCACCCTATATTCTTGTAGGCGATTTCAAGCTCTGAGAGCTGGAACTAACCATAGGAAGGCCTGGCCAGCGACAACCTGCTCTCCTTTCCTTTAGACTTGAAAGAAGTTCAACTTTCAACAGGCAGTGGCCAGAGCTGAGGAAAACCAGTGATGTCCCTCACCATACAGACCACAGGCCAGGTCCTAGCAGCTGATCTGAAGGCCAGAAAGGGGCCAAAACGGGAGCTGTACTCAACTGTCTGGCAGGCGCTTGGTGGCAAAAACCCCTGAATGGAGCTGAGTGTGACTATCTCAGACTTTGCTACAATCACCCGCCCCTGCTCCCTTCAAACTCCGTTGAGCCCTGCACGCCCACCTGGCCCCAGCTCTGGGTATGGCCGTGGGCACCCGCACCCTAAGGACAGCCACAGAGCAGCTGGGCCTGCGTCACCGAGTCTGAGAGTCACCATAGAGAATCCCCCTCAATTCAAACCTCATGTAGCTACTAGCTCTGGAATTCTGAAAATCTACGTCCCAGGAAGCAGGCCCATGAAACGTGGGAAGCTCCTGATAAAACAGGAAGACCCGGAAGCTACAGGGGATGCACGTTCACGTGTACGGACGTGGCCTTGCAAGTATCTTCAGAGCGCCGGCGTTTCTGGCATTCCGACCCAGGGCTGGTGAGAAGGCAGCTTCTGGGTGCTTGCCTAGGACTTCAGGACAAGGCAAGACCTGCAGTTCTGATCGTGTGCTGTGACCTGGCTCCCCAACACTCAGTTTTTCTACACAGCCCACAACCCGGGTCTCACACAAAGTAGCCCCCCTCAGAGCACTAGCCGCAAGAGACAGACGAACCGGGCACTGTTACAACTATGACTGCTGTTACCGGACACTGGCCCGGGGGGGAGACGCCAATACACTTCGAACCTTTAGGATGCCAACCCCCCTCTTCATCCACTTGAACAAAAGGACACACCAACGCTCTTACCTCGCAGCAACAGGTACCAGGGCGGCTGCCTTCCTTCCACCTGTTTGCCCACCTGCCCCCCCCACACCCTCTAGGAGGCACACGTGCCTGGAACCCGGGGCGGGGGGATTACTATTTCCTACAAAGCCCACGAGAGCGACGCCACAGTCTGCTGTTAGAAGAGGGAGAGATGGGCTGCACACGTGAACTTCCGCTGAACGCAGACGACAGCAGCAGCACTTCACACAAACGAACCGTTTTAACAAATTAACTCGCGGTACTTTGAGACAGTCCTGGAGCACATGGGAAGGGGCGGGATGGTGCTCGGAGTCAGACGTGGCAACTTCCTCAGGCACGTTTCCCACGGCAGGTGAAAACCCGAGACGTGCAAACCGTCCCGGGGAGGCGGCCCGTGCAGCGGAAAAAAGACTTTGGGTGAAATGTAAGGGCCACATCACTGATGCCGATCAGCTGATAAAGCCGTTCGGGCAAGAGTTCCACCTGCAGACCAACACCTCCCCGAGGCACTGGGCTGTCCCGCACCGGGGGACCTCCGTGCTATGACAAAAACCCCTGATTTCTAGTGAAAACAAGTAAGAACAGCAAGTTAAACTAACATCAGTCTGGCATCCGATACATTACATTGTATCCTTGCTAAGAGGAAAAAAAATTACATTTTAACACAACTGCACATTTGACTGTCGGTTCCTCCAAATACTCCCTGGAGCTGGGAGGAGCTGGGAGGAGCTGGGAGGAGGCCCACGGGAACAGGACTGCTTGTCTTGGTTTCCCTTAGAAACACTACAGCCAGGGCGGCAACACACCCCCAGGCAGCCAGGTAACAAGGGCCAGCTGGGGGAGGGAGATTCCCCCCGGTCAGGTGCACTTGTAGTTGAACCAGCTGAAATAACCGAAGGGTAGCACACATGCAGCGTTCCCCTCTGCACACCCTTGCCCTGCCCCCTCCCCCGCCAGCAGCAGCACAGCTATGGTGACCAGCCTGAGGACCCTTCAGAGGGGGGACACTGGGGGGCACTTCTCCAGGCCTCCCTGGCCACAGCCCAGCCTCCTCCTGCAGAGGGACAGACACCCGGGCTTGTGGAGAGATCAGAGAGACCAAATCTGCGTGTTGCAGGTTCTGGAGATTCCAACGCCCCAAACACTCCTAGAGGCCACCCGATCCCTGTGCCAGGCTGTAGTCCCATCTGCGGGGAGCCCTCCCTGCAAAGTCCTGGTGGGAAGGTGAGGAGAACAGCAGGCCAGAGTCTCTCAACAGGCTGCAGCTGTGACTCCGGGGCTGCTCACCAGCGCACGGAAACAGCCCCGCCCCTTCAGCATGCCTCCTGGAGGGGCAGCCTGGGGAGAGGTCCACATCCCTCGCCCCTGGGAAACTGTCCCAACCAGGAGTGCAACACGTGACAGCGTGCACACAGCTGAGGCCACAGCATAGTACTGACCATAGCACCTCCTGGCAGCACCTGCAAGGGCACTGGACTTGGAGGTGAAGGAAGACAGGAACCTAGATGAATGTGGCTCCCGGCCCAGGGCCATGCCCACCTGTGCAGCAACCTCTGGCCAGCGGCCCGGCCCCTGGAGCAGCCCACAGGTAGCACAGCCAGCAGCTGCCCGCTCACGGGCCTGCTGATGGAGAGGGCTGCGCCAGCCCTCGCAGGAGGAAGGCAGCACCTGACAAAGTTCTCTCTCCCACAACAGCCTCGCGGGGGCCTTAGGTCACACCCACTGAAAGGCACCAAGCCACATGGCTGGGAGCAGGTAGGTCAGGAAGGTGAGGACCTAGTACTACTGTGGGAAAACTGCAGAACCCAAACTCACACGCAGCGTGACCCCCTGCCTGCTGGGGACTTGGGCGGGCAGGTCCCTTACTTCTCTGCTCTCAATTCCCACAGCGCTCTGCTGGGCGGGCCCGCTGAGGTTCCCACCGTTGCCCTCCCACTCCAGCCGCACTGCCCACCTCTGCGTGGGGACCCATCGATGCTCTCTGCGCTGGACGAGTGCGCGTCGGCCGGCACGCGCCTCAGGCTGAAGTAACCACGGGGCCGGGAGGGAACGCTCCGCGAGGTGGGCCCGCCGGGGGGCGTGCCATCCCTGCGCGCGAAGATGCCGCTGAAGAAACGCAGCAGCCTGTGCTCCGAGGCCAAGCTGGGGCCGGCGGCAGCGGCCCGCGCGCGCTCCAGCCGCTGCAGGTCGCTGTTGTCCAGCGTGCGGTTCTTGCTCTTACTGCGCTCCCAGCGCTCCAAGTCCGAGAGCGCATCGTTCTTGCTGAGCACCTCGCCCACGTCCAGGGTGTTGCGTTTCTCTGAGGCGGGCTGCGTGGCGATCGCGGGCTCGGGGATGATGCCGGGGTCGGCCACGACCTCCCCGCCCGGCGCCCAGGCCAGGCTACCGGAGCTGCTGTGGCACCTTCCGCGGCCCAGGGCTGGGTCCCGTGGCGTCTCCGGCCCGCTCCAGTGCCTGAAACTGAGGCTTCGCCGCAGTGGCGCAGCCTGGGCCCCTTCTATGTCGGGGCTACAGGGTGCAGGCGAGCTGGGCTCCTCCTTCAAGGCCCGGGGGCTGTCGGCCACGTCCGTTGGCCCCGTGCCGCGTGCGCACGGCCGGAGTCGCCCCAGCTCCAGCTGCCCGGTGCTACGGGCGCGATAAGTGCGGAAGTCCCAGGCGCGCGGCCGACAGCCCTCTGGGTCCTCCGTGCCCGCCGCCGCCTCCTCCTCCTCCGCCTCCTCCTCTTCCACCAGCCGCTCAGGCGCGTCCGGGGAGCGCGCGGGCCGGAACCTCCGAGTGGGGCGCGGGTCGGGGACCGGGGCAGCCAGCTGCTCCTTCCTGACCATGGTCACCGAGATGCGGTAAACGGTCTTCCTGGGGGGCGGCCCGCGCGGCATCGTGTCCGCAGGTGGAGACGCGGGCTCGCTGCTGCCGTCCAGCAGATACATGTCGTCTGGGGCCGCGGCCACCGCGCCGCCCGCCCGGGCTCCGCCGCATCCAGGTAGCCGCGGGCAGGAACGCACGGACGGGCGGTCGCTGGGCAAGGTAGAGCAGGCGGGCCCGCCGGGAGAGGGCCCACGCCCCCTACTCGCGGTGGGGGCCGCGCTCAAGCTGCGGAGACGGTGCCGCTGGCGATTGTGGGCCAGTGCGAGGCGCGGCCCGAGTGTAGTGGTCGGGGCCCAAGGAGCCCAGCCATGGGCCCGCCGGGTGGGGGAAAGGAGCAGCAGGAGGGCAGACGGTCAGGCGCAGGGATGGTCTCGCCGGCAGGTGCTGCCGCGGCGCGCAGGGCCCGGGGCGGGCGGCGGCGGCGCCCGCGGGTTCATTGTCTACCGCGCGGGTTCCGCTTGTATCTTCGGGCCTTTTTTGCACAGTGCAGCGGCTCCAGGGCCCGAGACTCGCAGGCAGCTACGACGGACGGCCGCGGCGGAGGGGCGGGAGGGCGGCGGTTTAAAATGGAAACGTGCGCTGGGGCGGGGCGGGCGACGGAGGACGTGCAGCCACCGCAGGCGCAGCGCGCGCTCCCCTCGGCCGGGCAGCGGACCGGGAGCGCGACTGCGGCGGGAGCGCGGCCCGGCGGGCAAGCCGAAGCACCGGGGTGGATTACAGGCACTCGGACTGGAGCTCCCAGGGGCTGGCTTGGTGTCCCGCCTTAACCCTAACCTGACACCAAAACTCTGGACTTAACTGCAAAAAACCCTCAAAACCACGAGCAAAATATCGGTCCCCTCTCATCGGCTGCAGGTGTATCAGCATCTCCCCACAGCACTGAAAAGGTCCTAATTGAAACAAGAGACTCCTTAAAAAAAATGTAGACACCTGTGGCACCCGTTAGCCCCTAACGTGATACTGGAACCCGCCCACTGCCAGGAAGGAGACAAGAGAGGGAAGGTGAGGCAGCTGGGAGAGGGTGGGTGGGTTGTTCACACCTCCGCCCTGCCAGTGAAAGACACGCAGATCCACTCGGACATTCCCCAGTGCGTGGGGAAGGGCCCTGGACCGGCAGGCAGCTGCTACCTGGACCGGCAGGCAGCTGCTACCTGGACGACGGGCAGCAGGATGCAGGGTAAAGAGCAGGGGGAAGCCTTGCCTGTCCCCCCCAGGCTTGTCCTCTTCCGGACCACCTGAGTGCTTGCACCTGTCCAATGAGGACGAAGGAGAAAGGAGTACCGAAAGCCTGAGCACCCCCGTGAGGACGGAACTGGCTAAGAAACCGTGTGCCAGGCACTCTGTGTAAACGCCAAGTTTACCATGAATGTGACCGTTGTGCTGCCCTTCTACCAACCCCTGCTCACCACCTCTTGGCTCTCCGGCCCTTCCCAGTACTGTAAAGGGCTCATTCATAGTTCGTTAGCTTTTATCAGTACTTCCCAGCATCCTGAATTTAGACGTGTTAGTTTGCTTAAGTTTCACAAGGAAAGGTCATACCTACAACTTCCGCCCATCGGACGGGAGGCTTCCGCCACCTTCTCTAGGCCTGGACCTGCCAAGACTGCAGAGGCTGTTCCCAGAGCCCGCGCCCCAGGCCAGGTGGGTGCTCCATGTCCCTCCTCTCACCTTGTAACAGTCACTACAGGGCACCTGTCGAGCTCTCGATACTTAACGAATATAGAGCTGAGTCCTGCGCACTCTGGAGGTTATAACCGAGGAAATCCGGATTTCACCTCCGAGCGAAACTGAATATTCAGATTAAATGAGATAAATCAGAAAGGCTGCCAGCCAACTTGAGTTACTTACTTCAGTGGGCGTGGAAACACCCTGCAGGACCCCGTAACAGTGGCCACAGGCTGCTGCGCTCTGCCTGCACCTGCACGGGGCCCCGGAGCAAACTGCAGGTGCTGGCTATGCAACAAAGCGGGCCCAGCAGCTGCAGCAAATGTAGCACTCGGCGGAGGTGCTAGTGACTGGGAGGCTGCGCGTGTGGAGGCCGGGGGCACATGGGGAACCCGTGTACCGTTCGTCCAATATTGCCGTGAATCCCAAATAGCTCCTAAAAATCAAGTGCGTTTAAAAAGACAACCCTCTAAAGCACCTTTGACCACCGTCAGTGGCTCCAACTGGTCATGATGGCCACCAATAGGGTTTTCAGCTCTGTCCACCAGCCCTTGGCACCAGGGGCTCAGGAGCAGGGCCCTCAACATGTCCTCCATGCAAAGTGGGGACCCCGGACAGATGGGTCTTACCTGCTGAGTTCCAACCAAAAGCCCTCTTCGGTGAGACCCAAGGCCCACCATGTTGCAGAGCGGGAGCCAGGCAGCCATCCCTGCCATGGGGCGGTTTCCAGTGCCCATCCGGTCAGGGGGTGCTGAGGCTCAGAGAGGGTAGGTGCTTTCCCCCACGCTGCACAGCTATTCTCTGTGAGCTGAACACAGGGGCTGGGGGTCACACCGCCTGTACCCGTTCCCACGCTACAATGTCACTTCTGTCTTAGTGTCAGTGTTCTGCTTTGCTGGCAGAGAAGCGAGAAACACACGTGTGACTATAATTGAACTGGATATCAATGATGCATAAATGGTCTCGCGAGGTCTTGGTCAGTTTTCCTTCGCTCACTCACTTTTCCGTTTGTTCGTTTGTTCATCAGCTATACGCTGGGCCCATACCGCCACACCAAGCAGTAAGGAGGCAGTGCTCTGTCCCCAGAGAATGCACAAGCTCATGAAAAATGGTGCGGTCTTCAGGCCGAGGGACTGAACATGAAAATTCGGCGAGGGAGTCGCTTCCCGGGTGGCCACACAGTGCCTGGCACCCTCACAGGTGAGCGCCACGGACCGGCCGCAGTCTACCAGTTCCCACTGCATACGCTTCAAGGCCAGCCCGGTCTGCAGGCGGAGGAAGTGATGCTCAGCGGTGCTAAGAGGCGGGACTATGTGGATGAGTTTTAACATGGAATGTGGTGGCCCATAAATAAGATACATAAATGCTTCCTGTTATCTGAGGATATGATAAAAATAAGTAAATAAAACAGCATCCCTTTAAAGCCCAAATACTGAACTGCTACTCTTCCAATTATTGCACGGTCGTATGGAATCCGGGCCAGGTTTTGCACTTAGCCATAGGAGGATGAAGCCTGCAGAGTAGAAGATTCCATTCCATCCACCTTAGATGACACTGGCTCCTAGTAGACACTGAAGGATGGAGCGTCTTTGGGCCACAGCCCTGTGTGTCTGGTCACTCTCTTTTAATGCCGACTGCCAGGCAAGGAAGCACTGATTTTCTATGTCCCTCATAAGGATTTCACGGGAGACCCTCCGGTCCCGGCTGAAAATCCTGCAGAATCGCGTCTCCCTACTGCCCTGGATACATGGGCTCTTCCGATGCAAAGAATCAGAGGCTCAGACAGAACCCGTCCCTGCAAATCCCTTTACACAGCCAGCCCTGCCTTTTTACATGAAAATAATCTTCCCGTACATGCTCAGGTGGCATTGTGCTTTATTTTCCTGTTGCCTTTTCAACTGGCCCCTCTAGACCACCTTTCCTGAATTTTTCCATGCCATGGAATAGGTCACCATTTTGGCTTTAAAAAAAAAAAAAAAGCCTGTAGTTCATCTCCCTGCCACAGGCAAACCAGAGCAGGCGGGCACAGCCTCAGGGCTGCAGAGGGGACCAGGACAGGAGCCAGCCCTGCCACGCCCCTGCACCACTGGGCAGCTGGCCCTGCTCCTCCAGATCCAAGTTCACGAGCTCCCCTGGCCACCCCCGCCCCATGACTTCCCTGTCCTGCGCCATTTCTAGCTGCCTGTAAATGAAGCGCTGTCCACAAGAACACTATTTCGCAAGTGTTACTAGAGCTGCTAAAGGAAACCGCTGGCAGTCAGCAGAGTCATCTGCAAGTCAAGATGATCTTACAAGCGAGAGGAGGCAGCTCCTGATCACGGCCACAGCGGCTCAGCAGCACCAGGCCTGCAGGCAGCAGGGAGCGGCCAGGCGGCTGTGCCAGGGCCCCTGCACACCCGCCCGCCCACCCTGGGCGGGAGCCAGCAGAGGATCCTCCTCCAGGTCCCGGGCTCCTTAAAGGCTCCTTTTTCGGCAGCAGGGGGACTGACAGGCACACCTAGCGAGGCAAAAAGACAGCTATGTTTCTTAAGCAATGTCCCGGGTCCCCAGGAGACGCACGTCGGGCCACTTCAGGAGGCGGTTTCTATGCTCTGCGTCTGCAGGCTGAGAGCCCTCCCGCAGACGCCCAGCCCGGGCGGGGCCCTTAGGGCCCACGTTTCTCACTGCACAAACTGAAAGTTACAAGCGGAACAGAGAAGACAGGAAGACCCTCATCTCTGAGTCCCGGGAGGGTATGTGTGGGTCCCGGGGCAGAGACTCTCTGGCCCAGCAGGGAGACAGAGCCTGGGGTTGTCTGCCGAGCCTGTGGATCCAGCCTGCTTTTCCTCAAGGACAACAATGCAACCTCTGCCAGCCGGGCCGTGGGGCTGCATGACGGGTGTGGACACGAGACGTCACGAGGCAGCGCCCCACACCCCTGTCCATTCAAACAGGAGGCCCCCCAGTGTGACCTCAGTGGGCAGCACCAGGGTGCACCAGGCTCAGCTTTGCGACTACTTGTCCAAGGCCAAGTTGGTGTGACCCAGATGAGAAGACAGAAAAGGCTCCTCAGTCCGCCCACCGCTGGTCCCCAGGCATCTGCGGATCTGAGGGTCGGGCACATTTGCACAGAGAGGCTGGGGATGGGCGGGGCTGGGAAGGGTCTGTGGGAGGGGCAGGCAGGAAGGGATCAGGGGTCTGTCCCCAGTAGTGCCCAGCAACGGCTCAGGGTCCCGCCAACAAAGGTCACCTCCAGGCTGTCTTCTCAGCGATTCCTAGAGGACAGGGAGCACCCCCATGCGACTCTCAGGGGTTCCTCCTGCTGGGCCAGTCAGGGACATCGTCCTGACGCTGGGAGCACTGACAGTATTCCAGGGAGAGGCCCCCCTGCTGCCAGTCTCTCCTGTGGTCCAGCAGG